AAATCAAATTAATAAACATTAATTCATAACATTTTATGATATCTTCTTATATGTACCTATATTTGATTTAAAAAGTACGAAAATTAAAAATTAGTTGTGAATGAGACTTAAAATACGAATTACATCATTTCTTGTAAGGGATTATATTCGATTAATGCGTTTTTCGATTAATGTGTATCTTTTAATGTACACATTATAGGCGCACTCATCGCGGGATTGTTGTGTATATATATATATATATATATATATGTGTGTGTGTGTGTGTATATATATATATATATATATATATAAAGACTATATATACATATATATATATATATATATATATATATATATATATATATATATATATATATATATAAATGAATATATATATATCATTAAAAAATTATACAAAGAATTAAAAAAAAACAATATTAATATGATTAATAGCGAAATCACATCATTAAAGGGTTTAAAGAAACATTAACTTACTATCAATTCCTTGTATAAGATCCTCATATTTGAGTTGTTGTTAGATGGAAGGGAAGACACATACCAAGTACTTTCGACACTTTCAAACTGTCATCTTCAGGGCCCAATTTTATTACATATAGGCAAATACTAATACGAAATATGTGTAGACCGAAAGCCTTTTCTTTGTTTTAAATTATCCCTTTGATTTCTAACATTTCAAAATTCCAACAAAAATCTCATTTGATTGATTTGAAAAACTCTAGCTTTGCGACATCGCACGATCCAAAACATATATTAAAATGTCAATAAATATATCCAGGATAAAATGGGTAAATTGTCGCCATTTTGTATTTTTAATTTCGCGCATACACATTGTTTTTGTTTGATTCTGTCGACTGCACAGTAGAGTAGGGGGAGTTGGGCTCCCTCTGTTAAATAAAAAAAGACCATGGCGCAAATCACTCCGTCAGAAAATTGGAAATGGCATACAAAACTATATCTGATGTTAAGTATAAGTATCCTTTTTTCAGATTTTCATTCCAGTAGACAAAAATAAATAAATACACTGTTTAATAAATAAACGCAGCCACTACTCAAATATGTGTACTCACAAAAATTAACGGTTAAATTGATAAAAATTATCCGATTTAATAAACAAAAAAATCCATTACTTCTTTATATATATACACACACACACGCATATATATATATATATATATATATATATATATATATATATATATATATATATATATATATATATATATATGTTATAAATTAATTAATTTAAAATATGTTTTTTTTCGTTACACAGTTCTAACCATGTTTCAAAAATGGAAGCTAAAAGCCACGAATTTAATTTTGTGAATAAATTAAAGACATTAGTTCCATTTCATCCTCAAGCGGATTTTTGAGTAACTTTTAAAATTACTGGGTTTTAAATACACAGCTAAAAAACAAAATTCATGTTTCCAAGGTTACAGATAAATCTTTTTTTCTAGACAGGGTGACTGGGTGTTCATATGTCTATAATTTAATGTATCAGTTATTGCTACGTTTGGGTCGTGGGAAGGGATGTTTTTTTCAATGAAATCTAACTTCCGTTAAAAGCCTGTCGTCTAGATTTTTTTAAAATTATATTGTTAACGGCTAAAAATTCTTACGACATTTTTTTTTCCGTATATTTAAAGTATTTTACGATTTTTAGTTAGAATAAAAAAAAATTATATTTAAATATTACTAAAGTAAAATTTTAATTTCTTTGATTTAGTAGACTTTATTTATTTATTTAATTACAAATTAAAGATTTTTAGGTTAGAATTCATTTTTTAATTAACTACAGTTTTAATTACAACTTTAAAATATTTTCATTATTAGTTTTTATAGACTATATTTCATTTAATAGAAGTAAAATGTTACTAACAGCCAGTAAAAATATATATATATATATATATATATATATATATATATATATATATATGCAGTTTTAATGACATGAAAAAAATAACTCCCCACCTCCATCCTCATTCCTACTTTTCTATTTAGCGTAGATCTGATATTTAATTGGTTAATCAAGGCATATCCACATATCTAATCTTAATTTGGCCTTAGGTTTCTACCATTTAAATTTTGGAAAGAAGGAAACACTTTGTTTTGAAATTTCCTTAAAAATCATTTAATCACCAGTTTTTACCATCGACTGAAGATGTACAATTATAGTATTGAAACGATGAAAGCTTTTGTGTAACGATTTCAAACTATTTTCACACTATTTTATTAATAATAATAATAATAATATATATATATATATATATATATATATATATATATATATATATATATATATATATATATATATGGCAAAAAGAAAAAAAGACAATAGGAAAAGTGTTGTTTAGCCGATGTGTTTCATCCAATGTGGACTGTTTCAATGCAAACAACGAAATAAATTTATTGAAACAAAATATCTATTTACACTGTTCGGATCATCTTTATTGCCATATTTATCACAAAGTTTCGGCCGTTGTACGCTCCGGCCTTCTTCAAGTGATTGGAATGTCGAACTGAACTCTTCATTTCGTTTACTGGGGTTAGACTGTTCGGGTTCCACGTCTAACGGATGTCAGTTATCAGTTATCTCCTGTAAATTCCCCTCTCCAAGTTCTCCACCGCCTTAACCAGGTATTGAACTCACACACTTTGGGTCCTGTCACTGGATCTAACTAACGCCTTTATCCACTGTGCCATGTGTCCATGAGGAAACGTGACGCTGTGGATACTGAACAAAATATCTATAAACAATAAAAGAAAATGTCATTAGCATTTCTAAATTCTTCTAGTTGCTAATGATATTTTGTTTATTGTTTATAGATATTTTGTTTCAATAAATTTATTTCGTTTTTTGCATTGAAACAGTCCACATGGGATGAAAACTTTCAATTCCGAAAACTACAATTTATATTGTCTTTTTTCATTTACACATATTGTCTGAAACAGGTTAATTTAAGAAATTTGTATATATATATATAAATAATATGACGCAGAATATAATTGAAAATTTTCAAAAAATAATCCTGTGCATTATAATAATTTGTAAATATTCTTATATTTCTATTACATTTTGAAATATAATGTATATATATATTCAAAACTGTATATAAATGTATATTATATAACTTATATATACATATTTATTTTATAATATGCCTAAAATTCTATATATATATATATAAATATATATATTTTATATTATATATATTACTATTATATATACTGCAAACTATATATACCTTAGCGTTCTATAAAATATAAATTCTTTATATAATTATTTATATATATATATAAATATATATATATATATATATATATATATATATATAAGTGAGAAATGTAAAAAGAATATATAATATATATATATATATATATATATATAAAATATATATATATCGTATTTATATGTAATATATATATATTATAATTATATATATATATATATATATATATATATATATATATATTGAAAATTATAATATATATATATATATATAATATATATGTATAAATATTTATCTTATATAATATAAGTTGAGCTGTTGTATGTATGGGACTTATGATTTTGGGACCTGATTGAAAATATAATAATTTCATGTTTTAGACATAGCAGAATTGATTATCTTCCGATATTAACGACAATTGTCAACTGAATATTTCAATAAGTTAATAGAATAGATTATAAAAAGGATTCTCGCAAAAAAATGTCACCAAAATCGATGCAGAATTAATAGAATATTTTTTTGTCCACAGTAAATGATCAGAAGTTTGAACTGAGGTAAAAGGTATGACCCCAGTGGAAAAGCAATGGGGACACTTTAGTGTTTAGTGATGAGAGCAGTTTCTGCCTTCATTCAATGAATTCATGATTTGTTTTGTAATTGTAAGAGATTGCGAGACGTAAACCTGAAACGTTGCATCTTGCAGATTGTATTCTAATCTGACAGACAAGCTTTATCGAGGGTATTTTTTGGGAAATGATAATTGTTTTAATCGCTCATTTTTCGGTGGAAGAATGAAAGATAGAAAGAAGGTAATACCAAAGAAATAAGAAGAAAGAAAAGGAAATGGTTGATTAGACAAAAGAAAGAAATATAAGCCGAAAGAAATTAAAGAAGGAAATACAGCAAAATAAGCCGGAAGAAAAAGAAAGAAAGAAAGAAAGAAAAAAAGAAAGAAAGGAAAAAACAAACAAAGATTAGGGGGAAGAAAAAAGAAAGATGAGTCGGAAGAGAAAAATAAATAAAGAAAGAAAGAAATAAAAAAAATTCCAAAATTTGAAAAGAAATAAAGAAAGAAAATAAAAAAAAAAAGAAAAATAAAAAGAAAAATATTTTTTTGAAAAAAAAAAAAAGAAAAAAAACTGAAAAAGAAAGAAAAAGAAATGAAATAAATAAAGAAAAAAAAAAAAAAAAAAAAGAAAAATAAAAGAAAAGAAGTGATAAAGAAAAAAATCAAAAAACAAAGATAAATTTGAAAAAAATAGAAATATAAGAAAGAAAGAAAGAAAAAAAAAAAAAAAAAAAAAAAATTAAAAGAAACTTAAAAAAAAAATATAATCAATAAGCCGGATTAAAAAAAATTTAAAAGAAAATATTTTAAAAAATTAAATTTGAAATAAATATCATTTGTAAAAGGAAAAAAGATAAAGAAAGAAAAACACTGTTCAGATATGACGATGACTGAATGGAAAGACGTGCGTTGATGACCAATAAGAAAGGAATTTTTAGTTTAGAAAATGGAAAAATTTGGTGCATCCAATTTTCGATAAATTTTGATGTTTTTAAATGGAGGCGAAGAAAGAAGAAAAATCGTCTAAGACCGGATCAAATGAAAAAATATAATATAAAAGTCAGATTGATATGTATGATTGCAAAAAATTGAAAAGAAAAAGATAAAGAAAAGAGAGAGATGAGACAGCTGGATGATGTCTATTTTATTTGATGAACATCGTTAAATATGGAGACACATTTTTTATTTTTGAAAAATAGATATCAAGATAGATAGATTTGAATGTTGATAGATAGATAGATAGATAGATAGATAGATAGATAGATACCTTTGAATATAGATATGGATAAGGATATAAATATAGATAGATATGAAGAGAATAAGATAGTAGGAACAGCGATAAACCATACACAGACGAATATATATATATATAAAGGATGCGATGAGTAAATTGTCACTATTTTATATTTTAAATTTTACGCATTCGCGTTGATAGCTTTTGAATTTTTTCGACAGCACAGTATACTAGGGACATTTGGGCAACGAAAATGTTCAATAAAAAGAGTTCCATGATGCAAATATATCTAATACGAAATTTAAAAAAACAATGCTGCATTTATTTGGCATTCGCATTAGATTTATCCAACACTTACATTTCAAATTGTTTACTTTATTTTATAAAGAGAGGTTAAAAAGAGTTGGATAAGACCAATGGTGATTATGATGGTGTTTGGAGCGGTCATTGGGATGACAAGGTTATGCCTTAAATTCATTTTTTCCAGAATTTAATTGGATAAACACTGAAATAAAAACATCAAGTCATTTTGAATAGTTAGTTTTGCCCTCTGTCAAGAGAATGGCTGCTGGAAAAACCTTATATGTCTAGCAACATTTTTCCATATAAACAAAAAGAAGGTATTTAAAAATCATGGCTGTCAGGCAATTAAGATGAAATTTGACCAAATTTTTTTAAACATCTGGCTACCTAATTTATAGACTGACACCTTCCTATATTTAAAATGGTATTTTGCAAGTTAAATGATTTTAAATGACAAAACCAAATAATGTAATATAAAAAAATGAATTGAAATCGTTAAAGAGTTGCAGGAGATGAAAAATAAAAAGGTCGTCTGGAATCTTTTGATAGAAAAGTCCATATCATTTTATATTTAAATTTTTTTGTTTTTTAGTTCTTCAATATTTTTTTATATGCAGTTTTGGGAAATAAAGAAGTTAAAAAAAATGTCTGTTGTTCATACCATTTTTGCATCATTTAGACGACAATTTATCCATGTAACCATATATATATACAATATATATATATATATATATATATATATATATATATATATATATATATAAAAGGAAAAAAGGGAGAAAGTGATATATATATATATATATAGAAAAAATAGATAAATTTTCGGAATAGACAGGGATAAATCGAGAGAGAGAAATTGATATAAAATTTAAATTAATAGTTAGATATGCACATGTTTTAATATATATATATATATATATATATATATATATATATATATATATATATATATATATTTAAATGAAATATATAAATGAAAAGAATAAGATATTAAGAACATAGATAGATAGGAAAGGTTGAGATAGATATAAAAAACACTGAGATAGATAGATAGATAGATAGATAGTTAGATAGATAGATAGATAGATAGATAGATCATGATAGTTAGTTTATTTTAAACCAGCTTTTTTTTCATATTTTGCGATATCGCCTATTTAGATAAATACTATTATAAAAATGATATTCGGTATTTTGGAAATCCTACAAATATGATCATATCCTTGAGAGAAGAGATAAATTCTTAATTTTTTTCATTTTTATAAATTTTAAAACATGTTAATATAATTTGATTTTAAATGGAATAAATTTATTTGGCACTTCGATTAACAATTTTGAGCCATTATCCATTTAAAAACTTTTAAATTTACATCAAAATTTATTTATTCTGGCATTTATTAGAGAATTTATTCATTTAGATCAAATCCAAATTCAAATTTTGAATAACTGTTCTACCCGTATAGTGTTTCAACGTGAAGTCTTGAATATATGACATCCATCAGTATCAGTGTTAATAGAATGAGGAAACCACTTGACATGATGAGAATTAAAGTTACCAAAACAGTGTATTTGGCAGACTATTATATATAAGAATTGATGAAAATTATATCAGATATTTTCTTTAGCATTTTTATGATTGGAAGAAGGGGGATCGATAAACGTAAGATCATAAAAAATTTTAATTTTGAAAGTCTTTATTTACATAAAATTTTTAAAATCCGAAATCTCAAGAGACAAATTTTGTTGCCATTGGGAGATTTGGGTGGATATAGACATTTAAATCTAAACATATTTTATATTTATTTCTTAAAAAACAAAAAAGAGAGATTGGAGAAAAATGTTGTAAAAAAAAAACAAAAAGTTTAAAATAGGTTCACAAATTATTAAAATATTTGAAACGTTTTTAGGAGAAAAATATTTATATAAAGAAATTATAATGAATACAACAAACATTGGAGAAGGAAATTTGGAATTTTTATTTTTTTTTTTTTAAACATTTCACCCCAAGCAAGGTGGGAAGCCACTAGCACGCAAAGGGTTACAGAGAGTTGGAGCGAGAGCAAATAGGAGTGATAGAGGAAAGGATGAAGAGAAGGAGGGGGATAGATCAGGGCATCTGGAGACGTCGATTGACGTTACATTTGAATAGTTGGAGATTATAGCTCCAAACAAGAAATAGGGTGGGAGTTCCACAGGCGAGAAGTGCGATACATGAAGCTATTGGAGTAGAAGAGACGGCTACATTTAACAGTTTCGACAGTGAAAGGGTGAGAGCGAGATGCCAGCCTAGTAGAACGCTTAAATTCATGAAGTCTGGGAACCAGCAAAATGAAGCTCATCGGAGCAGTTACCGTGAAAGTATTTAAAAAAAAAAAGACAGAGGGAGGCGACGGCACGTCTGTGAGAGAGAGCGACTGCAGACGAGATGCCAGATCAGGGCCAATTACATTGCATATCCGTCTCTGGATTTTATCAAGAACTTTGAGACAAACAGAAGGTGCACCAGACCATATATGATAGCAATATTCCATGCAAGGGCGAATGGTTGATTTGTAGATTTGAAGGATCGACTCCGGCAAGAAAAATTTCCTGGCGCAGCGCAGGACGCCAACTTTCCTTGCGGTGGACGAAGCTATTATTTCAATGTATTCGTTCCATCTCAGGTCAGCAGTCAATGTGAGACCGAACAGACGCAAAGAGGTCCTCTCGTGGAATTGAGCGTCAGACATTTTAATAGGGGGAAAGGATGGTTCTCTGTGATGAGTAATAGAGAGCAGTTTTGTTTTTGAGGCGTTAAAAGTTAACCAGCCAATTCCTGCCCCAGTTCACAACCGATGGGAAGTCCTTTTCGAGACGAACGTCCAGGTTAGTTTTGTCTGCGATTTAGATTTCAATTTTGAGGCGAGTAAATAGAAGATTTTATGGGTAAATGCTAAAAACTTTAAGAAAATAATTGAGGTCAGGAACTTCGTTGAAAACATGAACAACATCCTGTTATTTAAAATATTTTTGTATTTTTATCCGGCTTTTTTGGGAAAAACATTTCAGCTTAAAATAAACATATTTTTATTTCCTTCATTTGAAAGTCTTTTTGTCGGAACATTTTTTCTTTTGATAAAAAAAAAAAAACCCTTGAATTTTGAATGTAATAAAATTTTTTTTTTGATTTTGATTACTCTTCTGCTGTTTTTTTTTTTAAATTTTTATTGATCATTATCCTTTTCCTCTTTCATACTCAGAAACCTAAGTTGGCGTCTTGGTTGGATGTTTTAAAAACATATGAAATGATTTAAAAAAAAAATTTTTTTTTGGATTTGAACTGAATAGATTAAAAAAAACAAGGAAGGAATTTTGGATAATCAAAACATATCCTTTTAAAATAAATAAAACAATAGATGAAAAAAAAATTATTTATTACAGAATTTATAATGACAATTGATTGAATGTTTGTTGATCACCAACGACTAAAAAATTTAGTATTTAAGCTCTTCTTAGAAAATATGTTTAAACAAAAAAATGAAGAAACCATTGCTGTTAATTTTGAAAAATATTTTCTGAAAATGATTTTGATAATGATTTCATAATTTAGGAAATTTCTCTATAAAGACACGAGAAGTAAAATAAATAAATTGAAACTTTTTATCAAAGCAAAAATATTTTCACTAGAAACGTTAAAAAAACGAAGAAAAAGAGAACCAAGTTACATAAATCATGAAGTTTAATTTTCGAAAGAATGAAAAATTTTTTTGATATAAAGTTCTTCAAAGAATGCATGTTGAAGGTAGTGGATATTGTTTGTCCCGATAACAGAGTATACTTTTCTGAAATCAAACTTATCGGCAAGGACAGTAACAAGGCGAAATGCATCAAATGTCAAATGTAGCCTGGAGGAATGAAGAAAAAAATTAGAATATTATTCCATTGTTACCGATGAATCATTTTAATAATTTATTAAAATTCTTATCATTCAAAGAATAAAAAAAATAAGCACTTGGTGTCAAAATTTTTTTAAGGAATGGCATTTAACATATTTTCCCTTTGTGGAAAAATTTAATTTACAAAAAAGTTTTGATTTATAAAATCCGAATTTGCAAAAATGAAGTAAAAATACATTCATTTTGATGGAGCATCTGTGGTGATTGAAAATTGGAACGAAAAATGGGTTTTTGTATATTTCAAGAACACATTCTAAATATTTTTCATAAAATCAAATTTCATTGCATTATCCATCATAGGTATTTATAAGCTGAAATCATTGAATTTAAGGACATTATGATAGTGGTTGGAAAACAATGATATATGGCGACCTTACATATTTTTCAAATGTTCGATGGCTAAGACAAATGGAAAAATGATAAAACGATTATATGCAAAAAGTGATATTTAAAGAGAGAAAATTTTTAAATTAATTTCTTATTCAAAAAAAATTTTTTTGTTTGTCTTTTCTCGTGAATTTTCGCCAAACAAAGGCAAATATAATAAGGATAAGAACTCGTAGATAAGTAATGAAAAAAAGGTTTTTTGAAAGTAACCTAATGAAATTATAAAGCCAAATGCTAACTAGATTATTGAAAAAATTTTTCCCCCACAAAGAAGCGATTAGAATAACTTAGTGTAACGTCTTTTTTTCCGAGTCCGTAACTTAAATTGCATTAAAATTGAATTAGACCCGTAATAACGGAGTAGGTTTTCAATTATATATAAAGACGAGAATTTTTAGGATTCGGAATAGC